TTTCGATGTTGTATCAATAAGAAAATAAAATGATATATATATATATATATATATATATATATATATATATATATATATATAGATAGATAGATAGATAGATAGATAGACTGCAGTCATGCTATAACCCCTATTCTACAAACGCCCTGTTTCGAGATCAGGGTATAAAAATAGATTTCCTGAATATGCCACACTCATATGGATTTATTATTGTAACTATTCCTGTTAAACACATAAGTAAGCGATTCTATCACTGGATCCTCAAACATCTTTTCTGTCTAAGTAAAGCGTCCTGAACTCATGTGGGGATGTCTAATGTATTCTAGTATAGAATTACAGAGTACGTTGGTAAAATTTAAGAGCCATTCACTGAATATTTAACTAGCATATTTCTATTATTTGCCCTTCACATTCTGTAGGATTCTTCAAACCCACAATTCTTTTCTATTTTCTCTCATAATCTCTTCAAATCGATTGTAATTAACTAATAAATAGACTCCATTTACTTAAAAACAAAATATTCACTACGATATGCCTAGATAATAATTAAACGACATTTAACATCTAGAAGTGTATTTCATATTAAAAAGCACTGAATAATTACTTTTTTTAGGATTCCTCAATTATAAGATCTAAGGTCAATCGATTATTTAGCTTTATGTATTTACTGACACGAGCCTGTCCAACTGAAGATGTCTTAAAAAAGAAATCTAAGTAAAGGATCAATCCGGAACAGCAAAATGAACAAGCCCGTCGTCTGATTTTTAGAATTTGTTATCTACTTCCATTTAGAATGGACAAAGAATCCAAAGTATATCTGTAACGTTTGTAAGTGAAGTGACAATATAATCCCTAAAGTGGAAAAGTACAACTAATTATTAATGGTAAGTAAAGATGGAAAGTGGCTAGCAGTAGAATACAGGACACGAGTTTCGCCCAATTTAGGACTCGTCAGCTGGATGCACCTGCATCTGAGTTGATGTTCACTCTGAGACTCGAACCCAGTAACTTTCGCTTCAAACGCCATCGTGTTATTCACTCAGCTACTGAGTCCTGATAGCCAATTGCTTGTGCAATGGGCAGAAGTTTAAATTCACTTGGTATTCAAAACAGTGGTTCCCTTTGATAAATTTGAACAGAGAAATGAGAAGACAAATTTTGTGAGATAGTACCATTTCGTGCTTTCTCGTCAGTCACATACAAGCAACATGTTATTCGTGTAAATACAGTTTTGAAGATAAGGTCAAAATTTCTTATTTAGCATGACATTCACTCACTAGAACCATGGTAAACAAAGGTCAACGTACAGTTTTTTTTGAACACATAAAGTTGGACTTTTCCGACCAATCAAGATAGCTTCGAGTAGTTTGAGTGTGTGTGGGTTTTGATGACATGTCACAACTCTAAAGGCTGATTTTGGGTCAATTTGATGACCACTCATCATTAGATGTTTTGCAATGGACGAGGCTGGGTTTCTTGATCGGTCTTGAGATGACGGGCTAGGTGGATGAATCATGGATTTGATTAACCATCTTGGAATATGTTCCCCTATCCTGTCCTCCAATCGGCGATCTGTCCTACCTAAGTAACTTTCTCCGCAGTTACATGTGAATTTGTAAATACTGTGGGATTCGGACTGAATCGGTCTTGGAGACTTGATAGGGTTAACTGAGATCGATTGAGTTGTTGTGATAAGCCTCAGATTAGCTGCATTGAAGGTCTTTTTTATTGCAGCTGCAGTCTGTTTGGTTGTAATTTTCATGCAATGATTACTCTTGAAAGGTAACTGTAGGTATACTAGTTTCTTTCAATGGGACTAAACTACAAAGTACCACCGAAAAGAATCGACAAGAATTAGGTGGACGCCAATTTCGAAAACCTCTACAGCCAGTTATCTAATTTGACTCCAACATCAGCTGAGAATGAGGCATGGTTCAAAGCCAAATTAGTTGATATATCCCAGCAATTTGCAAACACTCCAATCAACCAAAAATCTTGTCTAACGACTGAGCACAGGGAAGCATTGAAGGAACTTAAGAACAATTCCACAATAACAATCTGCAAACCAGACGGATATCCTGAAACGTTTATTGGTCATCAGAACACAAATACGACGAAACTGATAGCAACGGATGTGCCCAAGAAACTAGTATACCTACAGTTACCTTTCAAGAGTAATCATTGCATGAAAATTACAACCAAACAGACTGCAGCTGCAATAAAAAAGACCTTCAATGCAGCTAATCTGAGGCTTATCACAACAACTCAATCGATCTCAGTTAACCCTATCAAGTCTCCAAGACCGATTCAGTCCGAATCCCACAGTATTTACAAATTCACATGTAACTGCGGAGAAAGTTACTTAGGTAGGACAGATCGCCGATTGGAGGACAGGATAGGGGAACATATTCCAAGATGGTTAATCAAATCCATGATTCATCCACCTAGCCCGTCATCTCAAGACCGATCAAGAAACCCAGCCTCGTCCATTGCAAAACATCTAATGATGAGTGGTCATCAAATTGACCCAAAATCAGCCTTTAGAGTTGTGACATGTCATCAAAACCCACACACACTCAAACTACTCGAAGCTATCTTGATTGGTCGGAAAAGTCCAACTTTATGTGTTCAAAAAAAACTGTACGTTGACCTTTGTTTACCATGGTTCTAGTGAGTGAATGTCATGCTAAATAAGAAATTTTGACCTTATCTTCAAAACTGTATTTACACGAATAACATGTTGCTTGTATGTGACTGACGAGAAAGCACGAAATGGTACTATCTCACAAAATTTGTCTTCTCATTTCTCTGTTCAAATTTATCAAAGGGAACCACTGTTTTGAATACCAAGTGAATTTAAACTTCTGCCCATTGCACAAGCAATTGGCTATCAGGACTCAGTAGCTGAGTGAATAACACGATGGCGTTTGAAGCGAAAGTTACTGGGTTCGAGTCTCAGAGTGAACATCAACTCAGATGCAGGTGCATCCAGCTGACGAGTCCTAAATTGGGCGAAACTCGTGTCCTGTATTCTACTGCTAGCCACTTTCCATCTTTACTTACCATTAATAATTAGTTGTACTTTTCCACTTTAGGGATTATATTGTCACTTCACTTACAAACGTTACAGATATACTTTGGATTCTTTGTCCATTCTAAATGGAAGTAGATAACAAATTCTAAAAATCAGACGACGGGCTTGTTCATTTTGCTGTTCCGGATTGATCCTTTACTTAGATTTCTTTTTTAAGACATCTTCAGTTGGACAGGCTCGTGTCAGTAAATACATAAAGCTAAATAATCGATTGACCTTAGATCTTATAATTGAGGAATCCTAAAAAAAGTAATTATTCAGTGCTTTTTAATATGAAATACACTTCTAGATGTTAAATGTCGTTTAATTATTATCTAGGCATATCGTAGTGAATATTTTGTTTTTAAGTAAATGGAGTCTATTTATTAGTTAATTACAATCGATTTGAAGAGATTATGAGAGAAAATAGAAAAGAATTGTGGGTTTGAAGAATCCTACAGAATGTGAAGGGCAAATAATAGAAATATGCTAGTTAAATATTCAGTGAATGGCTCTTAAATTTTACCAACGTACTCTGTAATTCTATACTAGAATACATTAGACATCCCCACATGAGTTCAGGACGCTTTACTTAGACAGAAAAGATGTTTGAGGATCCAGTGATAGAACCGCTCACTTATGTGTTTAACAGGAATAGTTACAATAATAAATCCATATGAGTGTGGCATATTCAGGAAATCTATTTTTATACCCTGATCTCGAAACAGGGCGTTTGTAGAATAGGGGTTATAGCATGACTGCAGTCTATCTATCTATCTATCTATCTATATATATATATATATATATATATATATATATATATATATATATCATTTTATTTTCTTATTGATACAACATCGAAAAATGAGATATTATTCATCATAAGTAAACCTGATAGATGGATGTATGCTGTGAAATTTGCCAAGTATACTCCTCTTCCCGTTTTATTACTAAATACTATGAAAGTGTAGTCTATGGAATGACAATAAAATCACAACTGAACAATTTGTTTATTAAATTAACAATTGTTCACTTCATTAGAAAAAAAATTGCAGGGAATGGAATCAGTGGTAACCCTATAACAACGTTATATCATTAGTTGTAACATTTGTTAATGATAAATTGTGTTACTGATGAGCTTAAACTTTCCTCCTAGTTGATTTCTATAACCTAATTACTTCTGGACGTCAGCTGAAACACTAGAGAGAAGGCACGAATTGCGAGTAAAAGCTTTACTCTAATGTTAATTCACGTACAGGAAAAATGAAGGTATTTATAGAATAACTCACGGTTTTAGGTTTCTGGGAACTTCTGAGATCACACCAAATATAGCATCAGCATAGGTTAATATCCAGTCAAAACCGCGACACATGATTCTATATTTGCTAGATGTTTCTGAAAAGAACCTATATTCAATGCTGATCGGATAAAACGTTTTCTGGAGTTTCTGGGCCTTTAGAGATATTGATGAGGGATATTTCGGGGCTTCACCAAAAGTTCGACAATGTACACTCAATGTATGCCTGATGATTAACTGTATCAATATGAAAACAGGAATTCTAATTTCTATTGTCTTTCGGTTATTTCATATTTTAGAAATTCACTATTTCCAATAAGGTGACATACTGTAAATAAAGGTGGTACGGTTAAAAAATACTGTTAACTAAGTTTTATATACCAGATTTAAATTACGTCAGTGATCATTGCAATTGTAAATCAAAAACTCCATTCATCTCTGTTTAAAAATGCTTGACTTATTAGAACTATCAAGGTAATTTGTACAGGATGTACATAAATTAAGACAGACTGATCAATTACAATCCTAAACGTAAATGGGATTTCTCAAAGAAAAGAAAAGAAAATTGATAATAAATGAAATTAACTTCACCCTCCAAGAAACATGACGATCGATTTACTCAAACACACTCATTTACAGATCGATTTTATTGATATTTGATGATGATGATGATGATGATGATGATGATGATGATGATGATGATGATGATGATGATGATGATGATGATGATGATGATGATGATGATGATGATGATGATGATGATGATGATGATGATGATGATGATGATGATGATGATGATGATGATGATGATGATGATGATGATGATGATGATGATGATGATGATGATGATGATGATGATGATGATGATGATGATGATGATGATGATGATGATGATGATGATGGGAACAGATAAACGAAAAAGTCTTGATAAACAATGGAAGCTATTTATGGGGACGTTAATTCATTTCATTCAAAGCTTTTAACATTCTAACATTTATTTTTGTTTTTAGTTTATCCTACAAACCATAAGCTTTCGTTGGATGTATGATCCACAATCAAATCCCCTTTTTCTGTTTCAAATCTATTATAATTTAAATGTAACCTTTGATACTCTTATTCTAACCTACTGCCTAGTTTTGGGCATAATTGTATTTTCTTAATTGTTTGTATGCTGTGTTCATATTAATCATCTATGGATTCATGTATCTTTTTTTTCACTAATCTGAATCGCAACCGAATTGCATTATAATGGAATTGTGAATTGGAATTGGGAACAAATTGAGTAGTGTTCCGGTTGACTTATCTTCTATCTCTTGCCTGCTTGTCAACCAATCAAGTGATAGAATAGTTTTCATCTCTCTACTCAAGGTAGTTAGTGTCGCTTTGATCTCACACATACTAGCCTCAAGGTTAAACCAGCTAACCATCTTTTCAAGGTCATACTCTAGATTGAGACAAACTTATTTCTGCATATTAATGGGTAGACAGATCAAGAACGAAACAGATGATAAATAAATATTACCAATAACTAAAATAAGAAAAATGCGGAAATGAATTATTTACATAAAATTATTACTGAATATTTGATAAAACTGGTGTGTAGACGAGAATGATAATGATTGTTTGTTTGCTTAGTCAAACTTGTAGATAGTCTGACAGGCGTTAGATGAATTATATATTCTCCTATCCCTATTATTATTAATTGTTGTCGGTTTTCAGTGTGGAAATATATATACGCTCTAGTCAGGTTAATCACATGTTCTTGATCTGAGTTGTATTGAAATCCTGTAGAATAAACACCTGGAGGGGATCTAATGTAGATATTCGTCCAAGGCAAATTAACATCAACAATCGAAGAAACACCAACTGTCATTAGCAAAAAAAATTTCACATTGAAATAAAATGAATATTGAACATGAAGCGTTTTTTTTAAGTTGAAACGAGTGTTATATCAAACAGTAATCATACTGAAGATGAGAAAAAAAAAGAACAAAAATAATTCGGAACAAAAGTCATAATGAGATAAAATGTGATCTCATATTCTTATCACCACTTCATTTAATAAATAAAACCATTTGAAACTTATATAAATGAAGTATAGATTAAAAGTTATATTTTAAGTTAAGATTGATATTTGTCAAGATTCTTTTAACTTTCTCAAGTCATTATATAACTAATCATATGAATTTTGGAAATTATACATAATTTTTTCATCATTTACCTTTGCTCATCAAAGACTATAGAAACAACAGAATGAGATGGTTGTTTTAAAAATCAAAAATCAACGGGTCCTTTTTTTGAATGATTAACTTTTGAAAACTTGATTAGAATGTTATGCTTATCGAAATGTGGTATATTTAACTTGGACCTTAAGAATAAGCATATATGTATATTTTCACAGCTGAAATGATTAAATAACGTTAGCTACACCATCGATGAAAACCTAAAAGCACTGGACAGCCATTTCATCCTAGTATATCATTCTTCAGCAGTTACCACTTGAAACCTTATATATATATATATATATATATATATATATATATATATATATATATATATATATATATATATATATATATATATATATATATATATATATATATATATATATATATATATATATAAGGTTTCAAGTGGTAACTGCTGAAGAATGATATACTAGGATGAAATGGCTGTCCAGTGCTTTTAGGTTTTCATCGATGGTGTAGCTAACGTTATTTAATCATTTCAGCTGTGAAAATATACATATATGCTTATTCTTAAGGTCCAAGTTAAATATACCACATTTCGATAAGCATAACATTCTAATCAAGTTTTCAAAAGTTAATCATTCAAAAAAAGGACCCGTTGATTTTTGATTTTTAAAACAACCATCTCATTCTGTTGTTTCTATAGTCTTTGATGAGCAAAGGTAAATGATGAAAAAATTATGTATAATTTCCAAAATTCATATGATTAGTTATATAATGACTTGAGAAAGTTAAAAGAATCTTGACAAATATCAATCTTAACTTAAAATATAACTTTTAATCTATACTTCATTTATATAAGTTTCAAATGGTTTTATTTATTAAATGAAGTGGTGATAAGAATATGAGATCACATTTTATCTCATTATGACTTTTGTTCCGAATTATTTTTGTTCTTTTTTTTTTTCTCATCTTCAGTATGATTACTGTTTGATATAACACTCGTTTCAACTTAAAAAAAACGCTTCATGTTCAATATTCATTTTATTTCAATGTGAAATTTTTTTTGCTAATGACAGTTGGTGTTTCTTCGATTGTTGATGTTAATTTGCCTTGGACGAATATCTACATTAGATCCCCTCCAGGTGTTTATTCTACAGGATTTCAATACAACTCAGATCAAGAACATGTGATTAACCTGACTAGAGCGTATATATATTTCCACACTGAAAACCGACAACAATTAATAATAATAGGGATAGGAGAATATATAATTCATCTAACGCCTGTCAGACTATCTACAAGTTTGACTAAGCAAACAAACAATCATTATCATTCTCGTCTACATACCAGTTTTATCAAATATTCAGTAATAATTTTATGTAAATAATTCATTTCCGCATTTTTCTTATTTTAGTTATTGGTAATATTTATTTATCATCTGTTTCGTTCTTGATCTGTCTACCCATTAATATGCAGAAATAAGTTTGTCTCAATCTAGAGTATGACCTTGAAAAGATGGTTAGCTGGTTTAACCTTGAGGCTAGTATGTGTGAGATCAAAGCGACACTAACTACCTTGAGTAGAGAGGTGAAAACTATTCTATCACTTGATTGGTTGACAAGCAGGCAAGAGATAGAAGATAAGTCAACCGGAACACTACTCAATTTGTTCCCAATTCCAATTCACAATTCCATTATAATGCAATTCGGTTGCGATTCAGATTAGTGAAAAAAAAGATACATGAATCCATAGATGATTAATATGAACACAGCATACAAACAATTAAGAAAATACAATTATGCCCAAAACTAGGCAGTAGGTTAGAATAAGAGTATCAAAGGTTACATTTAAATTATAATAGATTTGAAACAGAAAAAGGGGATTTGATTGTGGATCATACATCCAACGAAAGCTTATGGTTTGTAGGATAAACTAAAAACAAAAATAAATGTTAGAATGTTAAAAGCTTTGAATGAAATGAATTAACGTCCCCATAAATAGCTTCCATTGTTTATCAAGACTTTTTCGTTTATCTGTCCCCATCATCATCATCATCATCATCATCATCATCATCATCATCATCATCATCATCATCATCATCATCATCATCATCATCATCATCATCATCATCATCATCATCATCATCATCATCATCATCATCATCATCATCATCATCATCATCATCATCATCATCATCATCATCATCATCATCATCATCATCATCATCATCATCATCATCATCATCATCATCATCATCATCATCATCATCATCATCATCATCATCATCATCATCATCATCATCATCATCATCATCATCATCATCATCATCATCATCATCATCATCATCATCATCATCATCATCATCATCATCATCATCATCATCATCATCATCATCATCATCATCATCATCATCATCATCATCATCATCATCATCATCATCATCATCATCATCATCATCATCATCATCATCATCATCATCATCATCATCATCATCATCATCATCATCATCATCATCATCATCATCATCATCATCATCATCATCATCATCATCATCAAATATCAATAAAATCGATCTGTAAATGAGTGTGTTTGAGTAAATCGATCGTCATGTTTTTTGGAGGGTGAAGTTAATTTCACTTATTATCAATTTTCTTTTCTTTTCTTTGAGAAATCCCATTTACGTTTAGGATTGTAATTGATCAGTCTGTCTTAATTTATGTACATCCTGTACAAATTACCTTGATAGTTCTAATAAGTCAAGCATTTTTAAACAGAGATGAATGGAGTTTTTGATTTACAATTGCAATGATCACTGACGTAATTTAAATCTGGTATATAAAACTTAGTTAACAGTATTTTTTAACCGTACCACCTTTATTTACAGTATGTCACCTTATTGGAAATAGTGAATTTCTAAAATATGAAATAACCGAAAGACAATAGAAATTAGAATTCCTGTTTTCATATTGATACAGTTAATCATCAGGTATACATTGAGTGTACATTGTCGAACTTTTGGTGAAGCCCCGAAATATCCCTCATCAATATCTCTAAAGGCCCAGAAACTCCAGAAAACGTTTTATCCGATCAGCATTGAATATAGGTTCTTTTCAGAAACATCTAGCAAATATAGAATCATGTGTCGCGGTTTTGACTGGATATTAACCTATGCTGATGCTATATTTGGTGTGATCTCAGAAGTTTCCAGAAACCTAAAACCGTGAGTTATTCTATAAATACCTTCATTTTTCCTGTACGTGAATTAACATTAGAGTAAAGCTTTTACTCGCAATTCGTGCCTTCTCTCTAGTGTTTCAGCTGACGTCCAGAAGTAATTAGGTTATAGAAATCAACTAGGAGGAAAGTTTAAGCTCATCAGTAACACAATTTATCATTAACGAATGTTACAACTAATGATATAACGTTGTTATAGGGTTACCACTGATTCCATTCCCTGCAATTTTTTTTCTAATGAAGTGAACAATTGTTAATTTAATAAACAAATTGTTCAGTTGTGATTTTATTGTCATTCCATAGACTACACTTTCATAGTATTTAGTAATAAAACGGGAAGAGGAGTATACTTGGCAAATTTCACAGCATACATCCATCTATCAGGTTTACTTATGATGAATAATATCTCATTTTTCGATGTTGTATAAATAAGAAAATAAAATGATATATATATATATATATATATATATATATATATATATATATATAGATAGATAGATAGATAGATAGATAGACTGCAGTCATGCTATAACCCCTATTCTACAAACGCCCTGTTTCGAGATCAGGGTATAAAAATAGATTTCCTGAATATGCCACACTCATATGGATTTATTATTGTAACTATTCCTGTTAAACACATAAGTAAGCGATTCTATCACTGGATCCTCAAACATCTTTTCTGTCTAAGTAAAGCGTCCTGAACTCATGTGGGGATGTCTAATGTATTCTAGTATAGAATTACAGAGTACGTTGGTAAAATTTAAGAGCCATTCACTGAATATTTAACTAGCATATTTCTATTATTTGCCCTTCACATTCTGTAGGATTCTTCAAACCCACAATTCTTTTCTATTTTCTCTCATAATCTCTTCAAATCGATTGTAATTAACTAATAAATAGACTCCATTTACTTAAAAACAAAATATTCACTACGATATGCCTAGATAATAATTAAACGACATTTAACATCTAGAAGTGTATTTCATATTAAAAAGCACTGAATAATTACTTTTTTTAGGATTCCTCAATTATAAGATCTAAGGTCAATCGATTATTTAGCTTTATGTATTTACTGACACGAGCCTGTCCAACTGAAGATGTCTTAAAAAAGAAATCTAAGTAAAGGATCAATCCGGAACAGCAAAATGAACAAGCCCGTCGTCTGATTTTTAGAATTTGTTATCTACTTCCATTTAGAATGGACAAAGAATCCAAAGTATATCTGTAACGTTTGTAAGTGAAGTGACAATATAATCCCTAAAGTGGAAAAGTACAACTAATTATTAATGGTAAGTAAAGATGGAAAGTGGCTAGCAGTAGAATACAGGACACGAGTTTCGCCCAATTTAGGACTCGTCAGCTGGATGCACCTGCATCTGAGTTGATGTTCACTCTGAGACTCGAACCCAGTAACTTTCGCTTCAAACGCCATCGTGTTATTCACTCAGCTACTGAGTCCTGATAGCCAATTGCTTGTGCAATGGGCAGAAGTTTAAATTCACTTGGTATTCAAAACAGTGGTTCCCTTTGATAAATTTGAACAGAGAAATGAGAAGACAAATTTTGTGAGATAGTACCATTTCGTGCTTTCTCGTCAGTCACATACAAGCAACATGTTATTCGTGTAAATACAGTTTTGAAGATAAGGTCAAAATTTCTTATTTAGCATGACATTCACTCACTAGAACCATGGTAAACAAAGGTCAACGTACAGTTTTTTTTGAACACATAAAGTTGGACTTTTCCGACCAATCAAGATAGCTTCGAGTAGTTTGAGTGTGTGTGGGTTTTGATGACATGTCACA